AACTTTGAGGGAAATGAAGGATTCGGGATATAAGAAGTGGACTCAGTATATTGGGAAGAATGAATTTCGCATATATATCCATGCAGAAGTAGGATGAAATCTATGTCTCAGGGTCTTCTAGCTGTGTTTAGAGGAATTTTGGAGTTCTGTAGTTAAGGGTTAGAATCAACTGTCCCAAATCAAGAAGAAAGGGAAGTGAGTAGGAAGGATTATAGTCTTATTGGGCTCATAGGAATGAAATTCCTCTAGATTTGTTGTCCATGGATTGTCTATCTACAAAAGGATTCAGTTTTAATAATACATTTCTAATGTAAAAGTTTGACAATCACTGCCCAGCAATTAGTCAGGATAGATAGTGAAATACTGGCCTCTACTTCCTAAGCCCAAGATTGCCTCCAAATACTTTCTCTTTCTTACCATAAGAATCTATAGTACTTGCTGTGTTGTCAGGTATCTAGAAGAGACACACCAGTTTGGAGAAATGTCAGGAATATCATTGCATATAAAACTACAGATGCAAAAATGACCTGAGATTGAAAAGTCAATACATGCACACATGCAGACACAATATGTTTCGTAAGTGGGTAGACAGAGGCACAACCAAGTACACACACACACACACACACACACACACACACACACACACACACACACACACACACAGAAAACACAAAATTTATGTGATTTTTGGAGCTGACAAATTTTTGTGGGTATTTTGTTGTCAATCTTGCTTATAGGAGACAGGATGGCTTCTCTGTATACAACTCTCATTTTTCCTGAATCCTACATCTTCATTCTCTACTGATGTGCACTGCCATTTTCTTTTTTTTTTTCAACACAGATTCCAAGTGTGGAGCTTTCCCCATAGGTGGGCTTTCTGTCTTTATGGGAAAAATATGCTACAACTGCTCTTGTAACTTCAGAAAATAATCTTTGTTTTTCCCCTACCATCCTTTCCTACCCCACCTCCCCAACTCCTCCCTCCCCCCACCAATTGTAAAGTTCGTTTTAAACATAGTGTCTTGTATATCTCATGGTTACAATGGGTCAACCTGTACCATTTTTTCAGCATTTTGTTATTTTGTGTATACAAGATTCAGGGCACTGATATCAAATACAATGAAAACAGGGGTCATACCATGGGGGAAGAACATACAAGAGAAACAAAAAAAATTGGCAACCTCTATCCCACGCGGTATGTGGTGACAATATAAGCCAATAGAGTCACAGGAAAACCCTTTTCTAGGAAGCCAATACCTCAAGTCCAGTGTAGATGGTCAGAGCTGAGGACAGCATCCAGATAATAGCTCAAATCATGTCTACCCCAATATTTTATGTGCAGAGTCCATGAGGCAATTCGTTCCAGTGTGTCACACTCCAATTCCACCTCCTTGAGCTTCACATTGCTGTCCCCTGCAAAGCATGGTATCTGGCATGCAGCAGGGCCACTCCCTCAGTAGACCTGCCTACTGAGAACACGCTGAAACTCCTGCCTGGTACTGATGATTTAAGGACTCCCCAAGGCTATTCACTTAAGTTGTCTTGCACCATCACCACATCTACCCAGATTCTCCCCTTGTTCCCTTTCTGGATATTGCCTCGTTCTACACTGAAGTCTGGATTCAGAGCTCAAAGTGATGGCTGGCCTCTGGCTCTCTGGGTTGGTTTTGCATGAAGCCTTGCTCACAGAGTGCAGTTGCTCTCCTCTAAACCTTCCAAGTCATCTCCTAAATGATTTGGCCTATCTGGAACCCTGCCATGGCTCCTGAATATTCTGACAAAATTCTTGCTACTCCTACTGGCAAAGGGAAAATGCTCTTTGGACATTTTCAGATTGTAAAATCATGCCTAAAGGAATCTCATTACTCTGGACATCATTGCATAAACCCATCTTTATATGGGTAGAAGATTAATGTTTTTGGTTATACCTTATTAAGTAATGAGGGAATACAAATAAGATGATACTTTTCAATTGTAAATTTTTGCCCAAATTTAATGTACTGATTATACAGAATGGTCCTGTGTAGGTTGATTATGAACATACATTAATTTATAAAAAAATTCAGTGGGGTGCCAAGCATGGTGGCACATGTTTACAATTCTAGCTACCTGGGAGGCCTGAGGCAGGAGGATTGAGGATTGAAGGGTAGCTTGGGAAAAGGTAGCAGGAACCTGTCTCAAAACAAAACAAAGCAAGAGAAAAGAAAGAAAATAAATGCTACAGAATTTTTCAATAGTACTTACAAAAATTTAAAATATCTACACCTTTTTATTTTAACACAATTTTCCACATTAAAATGTCTTTTTATGAGAAAGCATGCATATCTACCAAAGGATTCATTTTCAAAGATGTTGTTTAAGTGCTATTAATTGTATTAGAAATGAACAGCATCTTGTGTGTCAAATTAAAAATGTTAATTTTGGCATCTACTTTGTTTAGAATTCTAGGAAATCATTTACTAAAATGAAGAACATCTTGATGTACTGTCACAGAAATTGCTTGCATGCATTTTATTAAGTGACAAAGGGAGTTTCAAATGCACTAGCATTTATAACCATGAATTCTGAAAATTGTATTTTAGAGTATATCCTTTTATGAAGAGCTCAGATTTGACCTTTAAATATAATACATCAGGTAATTGATAGTTACCTCAGAGGTGATAGACTAAATTTTGGAATCTGTAAAAATTGTGACTTACCTGTATTATAAGAACCTTTTGCATTGCGTATTTGCACAGTTACCTGTGTAATGAAAATATTTAATAGGCTCTGGGAAACCAGGAGCTCCTAGGCTTATTTATATATTTCTTTATTTAAATAAGTATAAAGACTTATTTACATCTGGTTCATCATTGGCTGAAATATGATTTTCTATATAAATATAAATGAAGTAGGAGCTCTGCATTAACCAAGTAACAACCAAGTAACACACACAATTTGAAATTTCAACAGCTGAATGTAAAAATTTGTGGTGTGTGTGTGTGTGTGTTAGTGTGTGTGTGTACACCCACAAATTCTGACATGAGTTGGTAGGGACTTCCTCTCTAAAGGAAGATTCTGGAATGCAGGCTACTTCCTGTTTAGTTCCTCTATGTTGATACTGGCCACAATGTTCGATGATGAATGGAAAAAGAAGCAAGTGAACAACCCAGGAAGTTGAGGAAAATCTCATGTAAATGAACATTTCTAGTCTATTCCATAATATACCATCTAGTGGGAACTCCAAAGGACAACTATTCTAACCAGGCATTATAATTTACACTTGTAATCTGAGCTACTCAGAAGGATGAGATCTGCCATCCCAGCTATGCAAGAGAGAATAAGTGGATCACAGTTCATGCTATTCCAGGTATAAATGTGATACCATATTTGAAAAATAACTAAGGCAAAACAATCTGGAGGCATGACTCAACTGGTGTAGCACCAGCTTTCAGCAAGTAAACGCAAGGTCCTGAATTCAAAGACCAGAATCCCCTAAAACATGTGTGAGTGTGTGTATGTATGTCTTTTAAAAAGGAAAAGAAGCCTATTATGACAACCTTCTTAGTTTGAGTTTGAGGAATTTCTCTTTAAAGCACTTTAAAGCTACTCAGGAGGCCAAGTTCAGAGGATCAATTTGAAACCATTAGTCTGGGCAGTCCACATCTTGTATTACTTCACAGAAAGCTGTATGGTGGCAAGGCTCAATTTAATACAGCACCAGTTGTGAGCATGCAAGCTGGTTAAATGCATGAGGGCCCTGAGTTCAGGCCCTCATACTCTAAATAATAATAATAATAAATAGTAATAATGTGGTCTTCCTTCAACTCCTATTTATGTGGGGGGCTTTGGGTTATAGCTATTAAATGCATTCATCTGTGTATGTGTCCAGTGGCCTGTTTCAAACAGTATAGCTTGCTAAAGTAGGACTTTATTGGTAAGATTTTAAAATCTCAAATGTTGTTATATCCCAAGCAGCATCAGATTACCTGAAAAGCAGCTTCTATTCACAGTCCATTTTACTAACACAGTAAGTATATTGAAGAGGTTTCATGGAAGATGACCAGACATCACAATGTCCTCTAAAGTGCACTGGCACATTGAATGGACTGTCGACATCAGAGAAGTTTCAGATAAGGGAAGGGATACCCAGGACATTTCTATGGGGAGTAGGAACACTCTATTTCAGGGAGATGATACCATGCTGGGTTGTCCACTGAGAGCAGAATAGAGCCTTCAGAGGAAGCTGTAGTGACCCCATCCAAAAGGGCAATTGTCCATTTCTGTCCTCAGACATTTTGTCTGAGGCTAGTTTTCTACTACCACCTAATTTAGGAAAAGTTACCTCCCACATAAGAGTTTGGGTTTCCAAAAGCTCCAGTCTTTCCTGGCTTGGGACATTTACCTTGACTGCTACCATTTGAAAAACCCATCTCCTCAGTCTGTTTTACTTGCTCTTTTTGTTTTAGATGAATTTTCACCATCTTCCTTATCTTCAAATCTCTACTGCTAAGCTATTGCCTTCAAATGAAGAAATTCTTAATGTCAGAGGAATAAGTGAGCCAGTGATTATGTGCTCTTGTTTATGAAGGTGTAATTTCTCATACATTCTCGAACAAGGCAAGCAAAATGGTGCACACATCTTTTATTAAGGTAGAGTAGAAAGCATACAGGAATCTTAGCATTAACGATAGGCCCACATTCGCTGAGCCTGTCTATTAGTACTGGGCACTCACATTTGTAAGGAAAATTCTCTTTCAACATCATCACTTTTTATCATATTCCAGGCCACAAATTACAACGAATTATGTCTCAAATCATTTTTCAGAACAGCAGGACTCATTCTTAAAACCCAGTAGACAGCACCACATGTGATCCATATAAGCAATCTAGATTCTGAAGCTAATACACTTTGCAAAAGAAATGTTTGAAACATACAGAAAAAGAAACTTCAACATCTCTTCACTTCTTAAAAGCCTGGACTACTCTCTTCAACAACAGAATAAAGAAGCTACTTCACTCTATTTGTCGGAGGGGCAGGAATCGCTGCTAGACTTGGCTTTGGTGACAGGGGCAGCATTCACGTTGGCCAACGCAAGCTTGGCTTTCTCTTCTTCATCTTTCAAAGCTTCTTTATACAAGGAAACAAAGGCTGTGGGGCTACTCCCACTGACCTTGGAGAAAAACTGCAGGACTTTCATCTTGCTGGTTTCAGCATAGGCTCTTGGGCCCCACTTAAACTCATAGCGAGCAGGATTGCTGTTGGGCACCAGCTGGTACTCCAGGTATTTCTCCTGCACGAAAACTTCAGTGATAAGCTTCTTTGGATCCCCATAGATGAAATCCTTCTTCTCAGCGTACACACCAATCATACGCAGTATCTCCCAGACCTTCTCTTCGGAAGCACAGTTTCCCTCCATGAAGACCAGACCCAAAATAAGTATGAGGAGACCAGTTTGGGGTAGACCTTGCTCATTATGGCACCTTCCATCGTAGGTAAGATCGAGCATTTTGATGAGCACATAGGAGTGGCTGATGGGATCCACTTCCTTTACTTCAATGCCAAAGACCACTTCCATGCATTCGCAGGCATTCCTGAAGATCATAGGGTAGTAATTTTTGAACTCTTTGATGACATTTTTCTTTATTTCTTCCTCTGTGACGCGATCCTTTGTTGTGTACTTGATACTCAGATACTTCACCAACTCAGACACCTTCTTCCCTAGAGAAGTAGTGAGCAGCAGCTCAGCCTCTGGGTGGGCCTTTGAGGCACTTGCACCCTCCTTTTTTTGGCCGCTGGACCCTTCTTTTGGTTTGCTTGATAGCGTGTTTTCCACAGTAGTAGAGGAGGAAGAGGCTTCCTGAAGACATTGGGCAACATTGATGGTTCCAGCAGCAGCAGCAGCAGCAGCAGCAGCAGCAACAGCAGCAGCTGGAAGAGGAGGAGGTGGTGGAATTTCCTCCAGGCTGTGTGGGATCAAAGCAGAGGAGAAATCTGTGGCATCTGCCACCTCATCTGCATCCGACAGGCTCAAGGCTTCTATTTGGGCCTGAAGGTCTTGGTCAACATCAGGATGGAGCTCATGTTGCTTCTGGCCGTGAGGCATCATGGCTTGTCTGAGGAATGGTTAGCAAAAGTGCAGGTAGGAAAAGAGTGGTGGAGCCAAGTGGCCTGAGGGAGAGAAGAAAAATGTGAAATACTTAATGGTCACTAGTGGCAAAGGTCTCCTTAACAGATCTTCCCTTAAGTAATTCTCTAAGGCCCACTGGAATTCTCTTAGTCTTCTGGTATGCCTGACTCCTAGGAACCTCACAAAGACATGGCAATCTTTTGAAGGTAGAAACAGTCAGCACAGCCCTTTTTTCAGGGCTGATTATAGGGTGCATAGGATCAGGAGTTATGTGGCCGCCTTGTTTTTTTTTCTTTTTTGTGCTGGTCCTGGGCTTGAACTCATGGTTTGTGAGCTAGCTGTTCCTAAGCTTTTTTGCTCAAGGCTAGTGCTCTACCCTTTGAACCACAGCACCACTTCTGGCTTTTTTGGTAGGTCAGTGGAGATGAAAGTCTCACAGAGTCAAAGAAGCAACAATATTGTTAAAAAGTGGGCTAAACACATAAAGAGAGCCTTCTCAGAAGAAGAAATAAGAATGGCCATTATACAATCCCATTTGTCCAGCCTTTCTTTGATTTGTTGTGTTTCCGGATTGTATAAGGTTGCAGAGCTTCTGCAGGGCAAATGACATAGCTAGCAAGATCAATAGAAAGCCCACGGACTGGGAGAAGATCTTTACTAGCCATACAACGGACAAGGGTCTCATATCTAAAATATACTTGGAACTCAAAAAATTAAACCACCCAACAACAAATCCTCAAAGAAACAACTGCCCAATAAGTAAGTGGGCGAAAGAATTAAAGAGAAGCTTCTCTGAAGAAGAAAGAAGGATGGCCAATAGACACATGAAGAAATGTTCAACATCCCTAGCCATAAAAGAAATGCAAATCAAAACAACATTGAGATATCACCTCACTCCAGTTAGAACAGCAAAAATCAAGAACTCTAACAACAACAGATGCTGGAGGGGATGTGGACAGAAAGGAACCTTACTTCATTGTTGGTGGGAATGTAAACTTGTTCAACCACTTTGGAAAGCAGTATGGAGGTTCCTCAAAAGACTCCACATAGAGCTCCCCAATGACCCAGCAATCCCACTTTTGGGCATTTACCCAAATGATCACAAACAAGGCCACACTAAAGCTACCAGCACAACTATGTTTATTGCAGCATTATTTACCATAGCTAAGACATGGAACCAACCCAGATGCCCCTCAGTAGATGAATGGATCAAGAAGATGTGGTATATATACACAATGGAATTCTATGCCTCCATCAGAAAGAATGACATTTCCCCATTTGTTAGGAAATGGAAAGGCTTGGAAAAAATTATATTAAGTGAAGTAAGCCAGGCCCAAAGAAACATAGGTCCCATGGTTTCCCTTATTTGCAATATCTAGTATAGGTATGAGTCAAGCGGAAAAAGTCAGATAATGTGATGTTAGGAAAACGAAACCTCAAATATGTATTTTAATGTTTTTGTTTCTTTCATGCATGTGTTTCTAACGCATTTATAAGATTATTTCTTTGTTGCTTTGTATGTCCCTCCCCCACAGTGTAACCCCCGCTTTCACTATATTTGATGTCAGTATAACATGTGGAGGAGATGGGGACAAACAAGTCGTTTAAGGATTCAGGTGGACCTGTTGCAACAATGAGAAGTACAAAATGTCATGTCAAAACCAGCTTTACAATGTCGGGGGGGGGGAGGGAGGGTATGATTGGGTGGGAGGGAGGGGGGAGGCTGGGAAGGGAGGTGAAGGGTAAACAAAGGAGGAGGCTGCAATGCTTGGTAAGAAATGTATGCATTATCCTGCCCATGTAATTGTAACCCCTCTGTACAGTATGTTCTCAAATAAAATAAAATAAAATTTAAAAAAAAAAAAAAAAAAGAATGGCCATTAGACACATGAAGACACATCTCTGGCCATGAAAGAATGCAAACAAAAACAACATTGAAATTCCACCTCACCCCAGTTAGAATGGCGATTTAAGAAAATAACATGCTGGAGGGGATGTGGCCAAAAGGGAACACTACTACAATGTTGGTGGGAATGCAAACTAGTTCAACCACTCTGGAAAGTAGTGTGGAGGTTTCTCAAAAGACTAAACATGCCCGTCAGTGGATGAATGGATCAAGAAAATGTGTTATATACCCAATGAAATTTTATGCTTCCATCAGAGAGAATGACATTGCCCCATTCATAAGAAAATGGAAAGACTTGGAAAAAAATTATATTAAGCAAAGCAACCCAGACCCAAAGAAATATAGGCTGCTTGGTTTCCCTCATTTGTAATAACTAAAATATGTCTAGGATATTCTTAGCAGAGGATCACAGTAGCTCTATAGCCATATGCTTATGACCATATAAAATGATACTTATTGAAATGAACTCCAAGAAATGGAACAAGAGTTGTTTTTTAGCAGATTGTTCATAATTATTTCTTTTTACTTTCTTTTTTCTTTTTGTTTATTCCTTGCTCTCACTGTTTTTTTTTTTTATTTCTGTTCCCTTTGTCCTGTATATGTTTATCTGATTTGGGGAAGGGAAAAGGAATAACAAAATGGTGACACAAGGACAAAGGTTGAACTAATGCAACAGTGATACTCTCTTGACATTACGTTGGAAATGAACTTTACAACTTGGGGGAAACAGGAGAAACTGGAGGGGCAATACTGTTCAAAAAAATGTACTCATTACCTTACTTAACTGTAACCCCTCTGCATAGCACCTTTACAATACATTTTTTTAAAAGTCTCACAGACTTTTCTATCCTCTTTTATTCAAACCGTGATCCTCAGCTCTTAGCCTCCTGAGTAGCTAGGATTACAGGCATGAGCCACCAGTACTCATTTGGGGTCTCCCTGTTTCAAGAACCTTGGCACTTGCTTCCTGAAGTGCTAAAACCCTTGATCTGCATTCAAGGTGTGTGCTTCATCATGGCTCCTGGCATGGCCTGGAACCCTTCTGCCTTGCGAATGAGGACATACATTTCATTTCAGTACTGTTATTCTTAGTTCCTAGAGTATTTCTCCATATTGCAAGCACAGCCTTGGGCTCTCTAGAACTGAGAGGTGGATAGAACTAGAATCTCTGAGGTCCCCCCAGTAATAAGGTAGATATGAACCTTCCAAATGCAGGAGCAGGGCTCTATCCTTAAATTGACTCTGGCAAGGCCTAAGATACTTCTGATAAAGTGTCCCACCAGGTGGGAGTAAAGTGTATAAGACCAGCCATCAGGGCTTCTCAGGGAACGGACCACACAGGGAAGGAGCCTAAAACTTAGGGCACAGAGGTCCCCTCAACTTTTATTCAGGGCCCTCACATTGACTCTGAGGAGATGTTGGATCTCCTCCCGGGTCTGACCAGGTATTGCTCGCCCTGCAGATGTGAAGTTTCTTGTTTAAGCCAATGTCTTCATTTCTCAAAGATCAATGAAACAAAAGTTAGGTGGTTCCACATATAGTCACCTAACTACGATTCTGGCTAGAATCTCTAACAGTAGAGCTCAATTTTGAGTGGTGGGTACACTGAACCTCTCTGCAGGGTATGCACCTCCATGGTCAGTAAAGCCTGGGACTCCTCCCTCTGGTGATGTGAATCTGCCCCTATGACAAAAAAATCTCACTTCTCCGACATTACCAGGCCAGCTGCAAATGAGAGGAGATTTGATAGACTTGCCTAGGGTTTGCTAAGGCTAATAATAGGGTAAAGCAGGTTTCTATAAGGACCCTTTTGTCTCGATTGACACTCTCAATCTTCCTGAAGGTATTTATAAATTCCTGACCAGACCTGCATTTGTTCCCTTCTGCCATCCTCATAACACATTGTTGATGCTAGATAAAGACTAAAGTTTGGTAGAAGTTCTACAGAGGTTACCATTCCTACAGCCATGCCAAAGTTCTTCCAATGCTAATGGCAGTGAAAGAGCAGAGGTAGAGCCCTTCTTTCTAGATGGAGATTATATCAGTCCTTTCTCAGGAGTCCTCATCAAGATTCTTGGAAGGAGGCCAGGTACCATGCCACTTACCCTAGCTATTTGGCAGGCTGAGATCTGAAGATGACAGCTCAAATAAGAAAGCCAGCTCAAATAAGAGTTGGTGAGACACTTATCTCTAACCAGCAGAAAGCCAGAAGTGGAGCAGCGACTCAAGTGATAGAGTACAAGCTTTGAGAGACAGATTTAAGGGACAGTACCCAGGCCCTGAATTCAAGTCCAAGTACTGCCACAAAAGAAACAAAGCCTCCTACAATGGCTGACGATCCTCCCTTTGGTAATATAAGGCCACAGCCTTAATGTTAATCTAACTGAAGTCCAACACCACCTTCAATGCATATATCTTACAAAATTAAGAAAATTCAGGAAAAGGGTGTGGTTGGGAGGGCTGGGAGAGAATGTTGAAAGGAGTGAAATTAATCAAGATGCACTGTATTCAAAAACTGGTTTGTTGAATGGTAACTGCTTTATACAAGTACTTAAATATAATTTTAAAAAGAAGGAAGTTCTAAGTATATTCTAGATATGAGGTCCTTGTCTGTTGTAGGTTGTTGAAGATCTTCTCCCAATCTGTGGGCTTTCTACTTGCTAGCTATGTTCTTTGCCATGCAGAAGTTCTGCAGTTTCATGCAATCTCATTTGTCCAACCTTTCTTTGATTTGCTGTGTTTTTGGGTCTTTATTAACAAAATTTTGGCCTGTACCAAGGAGACCTAGTGTCTCTCCTATTCCTTCTTGTAATGTTTTCAGGGTGTATGCTTTTAGCTGGAGGTCTTTGATCTATTTGGAGCTGATTCTAGTGATAATATATATATGGATCTAAGTTTAGTTTTCTACAGGTGTTTTACCAATTTTGCCAGCACCATTTACTGAAGAGGCTGTCTTTCTCCTGTTCTATTTCTTGATTAGGTGGCCATAGGTCTGTTGTCACTGTATTTGATTTGGGTACACTGGGTATTGAATATATGTTTATCTCAATAAGGGAAGGGGCACAAAAAA